GGGGGGGGGGATCGGGGGCTGCGCGCGGAGGAGAGGTTGGAGAAATTCTTCGAGGTCTAGGAAAGACAGGAAGGTGTAACTCGCCACTTGGGCAGTTGCCCGTGCGGCGGGGGGCCTTATATATCTCGGTCCTCTGGCGAGCCGCATGTATCCAGCGGGAGGGGTGGGGATGGGGGCAAGCGGTGCTGCCATGCATGCGGCGAGGAGGGGAGGTGGGGAGACCCCCGGTCGCCACGCTCCCCCCCCCGGGGGGGTGGCGCGGGGCGGCGGAGCTTGGGACCTGGTGGCACCCCTGGCCGAGGGCGGGGAGGGGAGGAGGGCCGGCCTCGGTCGGGCCCCGCTGTCCTGGGGCGCAGAAGGGGGCGGGGGGGAGATGCTCTCCGGTGGAAGCCCAAGGTGGCAGGAGATCCCCGCCGTGGCGGGCGCCATCCACTGAGGCTACCTCGACCCCTAGGGCCTGCGCGCCGCCCCCGGGGGCCCGAAGTGACGACAGAGAGAACCCCATGTGCGCCGGCCGAGGCGTGCCCGGCCTCTTGCGCATGCCGGGGGCGCCCACATGCTGGGCGATTGGGCGGACTGTCGCGCTGGGAGACGCCGCTCGCCCGGGCGAGCGTCCAGATATTGCCCCTCGCCGGGCGCGGCCCTGGGCGGGGATCTCGCCCGGCCCCGGGCGCGCGCCCGTTCTCACAACACAACAGGCCCCCCCCGTCCGAGAGGTGCCGGAGTATTTTTACCCCTTGCCGGGCCCCGCCCTCCGGCCGGGGGGGGGGGGCGAGGGGCAAGAGGGGGTCGTTCTCCCCCGATGAGTGCTCGCGTCGGCGAGCCACCCTGTTGGGGGCGGGGGAACGGAGGGGGACCCGGGCCCGGACGCGGACCCGGGGTAGCGGGAGAGTCATATGCGGGCCCCATTACTGCTGCTGCTGCTGCTGCTGCTGCATGGAGGCCCGAATTAATATTTCGGCTCAATTTAATGTTGGCCTTTTCCGTGTGCCGGTGTCGCTTCTCGTGTGGCGTCCAGCTCGGGCGCCCGGTCTCTTTGTCGCGTTCTTGGCGTGTCTTCGCTTTTTCCGGACCCCATCTTTCGCTCTTTCTCCCGCGGCCTGCTCTTTGCCTGTCCGCCTGCCCGCCTCGGCCAAGGGGGGAAGGGGGGGCGGCAAAGGAGGCCCGGCTGCTTTGAGGAGATAGCCACAGCATCCCGCTCACGGCCAAGACTCCGGCGCACGGTCGTCAGTTAAAGCCGCCTCGCGCCGTTTGCGCGCGCGCGCGCGCGCGCGCGCGAGAGCGCCGGCAGGCCCCCGCCCCGCGCTGTCCAAATGCCGGCGACAGCAGCGCTCCTGTCCCCCGATGTTTCTCCTGTTCGGGCCGCCCCCCGCCCCCGAGGGGCCGGCAGCCCCGCGCCCCGGGGGCGCCCTGCGCTCGCTTCCCCCGCGCGCGCGCGCGCTCTGGCTTCCGCCCCCGCCGCCGGGTCCCCCTCCCCCGAACCGCCGGCGCACCAGGGCATGGCCTGCATGGCCTGATGAGGCTTTGGCCGGCGGAGGGCCAAGCTGTTGGCTCTGGTCCGAGTCCCTGGGGGGGGGGGGGGGGGCGCGCGCGCGTCTGGCCGCAGCCCCCGCGCCCGGCTCCTCCGCCGGGCAGGCCGACCGGGCGCTTGCCGGACGGGAGACCAGGCCCTGCCCGATGGTTCGTGCGTACGGGCGTGCGTGCGCGCGTGCGTGGGGGCGGGAGTGGCGGGCAGAGGGGCCGGGCGGCATGTCATGCTCGCGTGCGCAGGTGGGGGTTGTCCGTGCCTGTGTGTGCTCTTGGGGCAGCGGCTCGCTGACCGCTCTCGGTGGCCTAGTGGAATGCAGGAGGCGGCGTCCGATCGTGCAGCTATAAGGGGTAGGGACCGGGGGTGGGGCGGCGTGCTTGCCCGGCACGAGGGCCAGCAGGGCGCGGCTCGCGTCCAAACCGGGGCGGCGGAGCCGCCTCGGGCGGGGCCGTCCGGTCCCCGGGCCAAGGCGCATGTGTGTGCGCGCGCGCGCGCGCGCGGATGCCCCCTTGCCCCCGGGCCGGGGCCAGGTGTACGTGCCGGCCGGTGGCGAGATCCACAACAGCCGCCGGGCCAGGCCTCGTGCGTCTGGGGCATGCGCGTGTGCCTCCCCCCGAGAGCCGGCCCCCGCCGAAGGGGCCATTCCTCGCTCGGCGGGGGGGGTGTGGGAGGGCGTGTCTGCGCCGCATCAAGTTCCACCGACGGTCCACCACATGCGAAGGCCGGGGGGCCTGCTCGGTGCGTGCGAGCGTGCACGCGTCGTGTGTGTGCGTGTGCGTGTGTGCGGTCAGTCCATGCGCAGGGGGGGGCCCTTTTTTCATGACCATCCCCCTTCGGCGCACCGCCCGGGTGGCGCTATCCGGCCGGCCCCCCCCCCCCCCGTGTGCCATCGGGCCGGTGACAGTTCGCGGAGTGCGCGGGCCCGGCGGCGGCGGCGGCCGGGCCAAGCGGCCGGTCTCTGGCGTGCTGCCAGGCGGCGCGCACGGCTGGCGCCGCCGGGCCTGGGGTCATGGCGGCCAGGGACATTCGCCCAGCGCGCTGGCGCCCGGGCGAAGTTGCGCCTCCGGTGCGAACACCTGCCCCGGGCGCCGCGTCCGGCTGGCGGTCGGGCTGCCAGGTGTCTTTTGGCGGTCGCTTTCCGGAGCGGCCGCGCGCATACACACAAGAGGGTGTGCCGGGGGCGCCTGTACGCGCGCGGTTCTCGCATTCGGCCTCATGCCGGTCCGTGCGTTTGGAGGGTCACCTGCCAGGGGGGCGGGCCTTGCTCGGGGGCAACTGCCCGGTTGGGGGTGTGCGTCCGGCGGCCCCCTGAGGGTGTGACGAGGCGCGCTCGGGGAGGGCAGGCCGGGGGCGGCGAGCCGGGCGCCAGGATGGAGGAGCACATGCCCGTGCCCGCGCGCCCGGCGGCGTGTCCCCCCGACGCAGGCTCCACGCATGGCCGCTGTCAAGTGTGTGTGTGTGTGTGTGCGTGTGCATCCACGAGCGCTGTTGCCGCGCCCGCCTGCAGGCTGGCTCCCCCCCCCCCCCGCCACCGGGCGCCTGGAGCTCGGGCAATTGATAGCGCGCCCCCTCCGACAATTAATTGCACAGGTTTCCGGTGCGATGCGACGCGATGCGGCCCGGTGCGATGCGATGCGATGCGATGCGGGCCCCGCCGCCTCGCCCCTCCCGCCACGCATGGGCACCGCCCGCCCTGTGAAGGAGGGACACATACGCGCCCGGCCGGGCGGCAGCAGGCCCTTCGTTGCGTGTTCCCCCCCCCCCTCCCCCATATGTGTGTTCTTTTGCCGGTGGTGATTAGTCAGCCGCCGATCGTGCGGCAACCTCGGTCCCAGCCGGCCCCCCGGCCCCGGGCGCCGCCGGTGCGCGTGACAAACGTGCGTGTCCGGGCCCTCGAGCGAACATAGCGGAGGCGCCGCGCCGGCAGGCCGCGGCTTGTCATTCTGACTCACGGCTCATGGCCGTTGACAGGGGCACCGGCGCCGGGCTTTCCCATGATCGGCCGGCGCAGGCGCCGGTCCGCGCAAGCGCCCGGCCAGGCGCCCGTCCCCTCCCCAGCTGGGAAAGCGCGCCCATGAGGGCATGGCTTCGGCCTCGCCCTTTGCGTTTGGTTCGCATATGCCTGTGAGAACGCGCCCCCTCCCCCTTGTCCCCCCCCCCCCCTCGCCGGCCGCGCCGGTGTTTCTGCCGCGCGCGCACACACACACACACACACACACACACGGAGGGGGCCCGGCTCTTGCGCGGATCCGCCGCTCTGGTCCCTACTCCGGGGGCCCAATTCCAGTCATATGTGTTCCGGGGGCGGGTGCCGACCCGTGGGTCGGCCGGCACCCCCGCCCCCTAGGGGCCGTCTGGCCGCGCTCGCCGTCCCCACCCCCCGCTCCCCCCGACTCTCGCTCCCCTGGGGGAGCCCCACCGCCGCCGCCGCCGCCGCCGCCGCGGTCTCAGAGGAGAAATCGGGTGTCGATGCGCACACGCACGCGGGCGCGCCTTGGGAAGGTGGAAGTTGGCGCGCGTACGGCCGGCGAGGATTTCACCCGATCCCCCATCCTCGTGCCGGGGGGGGGGGGGGGGGGGGGGGAAAAAAAGGGCCGGGATGGCCACGACCGCAGTGGCATCCGGCCCGGCGGCGCCCCAGGTGCCTGGCGGCGCGGGCGGCCGCCCGCGGGGCGAACCGGCCGCAGGACGAGCCAGGGGCAACCATCCTTGGCCGCGGTGAGATACCGCCTCGGTATGGGCTCGACAAGAGCCGACACATTCTCCCCCGCCCCCGCGGTTCACTACGGTGTGCCTACACCCGCCCCGTCCTGCCTCGGCTCCGGGCTCCCCCCCCCCCCCCCCGCCCCCCGACTCCTCTCATTCCTCCGGTCGCGGGCTCCTGGCGTGTGTGCGGCGCGCACATTCGCACCTGCCCAGGGCGCGCGCGTGCCCCTGTCGACGACCTGGGCGTGCGGGCGGCACGAGAACCCGGGCCTCGGCGCGCCCGGCCCCATCTGGCAAGGGACTGGCGACAGGGCCCGGGGCCGGGCGGGGGCAGCGACACCACTCCCCAGCTGGGGGTCCTCGCGAGGCCTCCTGCGCGAGACCGGTCCCCCCCCCCTCCCGGAGCGAGCCGCGCCAAGGAGCGGCCAGTCGTCTTCACCGGTGCATGTTGTGCCTTTTCCGGGCGCCTTGTCCCGGCGCCTCGGCCCTTCCCCGCGGCTCTCCTCTGCATCTTCCGGGCCGGCTGGATGTGCCGCCTTTGGGGGCTTCCCCCCCCCCCCCCCCCCCTGCCCACCCCACGTTGCACACCATACCGGATGGGGGGCCCGGCGCTGCTCTGTTTTCTTTTCGCGGAGCACAGATCCAACAACAGGTGAATTGAATCCCCCTTTCTCGCCCAGGCCCCCCCTTCCCCGCTCATGGGACGCGGCGGAGGGCGCGGGACCCACTCGTGAGCCGGGGGGATCCCACGGAGCCCGGGTCTAGTTCAGGGTGGGGCAGACGAATTCCCGGCCCATTCCTCCGGCATGTTACCCCTTGCGCCGTAATCTCCCAGAAGATGCACCCGCAAGCTGCCCATGCCGCCGGCGGGCCCGTACGCCCGGCGTCCCCCAGGCCGGAATCGGGCTCCCCCCCCCCCCCCGCGCCTCGCGCCCCCGCGGCGCCACGATGGCGCGGCACGCCGGCCGGCCCGATCCCGCGGCCATCTCCGGCGGCCGGCATGATAGCCTCCGTGACCACCTGTTAAGAGCCGCGAGAGTACGATATTAACCCATTGGCACGACACGGTTACACCGAGGCCGGCCGCCCGGGAATTAATCGGCCGCGCCCCGTCGTGGAGCGCGTTCGGCGGCCCTCCGCAGGGATAGCCATGAATCTGCTCTCACACATGAGGGGCCAGCGATCTGGGGCCGTGTTCCCGGTCGGGGTTGGGGCTCTACCTGTCCTGTGGGTCGTCCTCCGCCCCGGGCCCCGCCCCTGCGTCCTGCCCCGCACGGGCCTCCCTGGGCACAGTGCAATACTGCCAGCGGCCAAACACGTCCCCGTCGCCGCTGTCCGCCGCCCCCCCCTCCCCCCCCCCCCCCCCCCGCAAGCGTGCGCCGCCACAGGGGCACGTACGGGGCTGCGCGAGTCCCGGGGGTCGGCGGGGGCACGCTGCGCGCCCGTGCTCCCCAGGCGGGTGTTTGTTTACCGGCGGCCTCGCTGGCGGTGTGCGTGCGTGTGCTGCTGGCTGTCCTGTCTGGTGTGCTGTGTCGTGGGCCGCGCCGGGCCGGCCATCCCCCCCCCCCCCTCGGTGTCGGTGCGCCGGGCGCGCTCACTGGACACGGCGAGGGGGGAGTGGGGCCGGCGGTCGTCCGGGCGCCGGGAGCCGCGTCGGGCTGCCTGCATCGCGGTGGCCCTTCTGTGCCAAGGGGCGGTGCAAGGGGCTGGGTCCCCCTTCCCGGGTGTCGGCGCATTCCGGGGCTGCGTGCATATGTGCGCGCGTGGATGGATGGGCATGCGCGTGTCCGCACCGCCGCGCGCCTTCCGCGAATTTGCGGCCGCGCACACACGGACGCGCTTTGGCTCGTGCGACTTGCCCTCCACACCAGGCAGGGGGGGGGGGGGCTGGCAGCACGAGCAACACCGCGTTCCTGCCGCAGGTCCAGGTGTCCCGGTCTGTCCCGCGCCCCCCCTCGGCGGGGCATGCGCAGGGAGCCTGCCTGCATGTGCGCCTGTGTGACGGCCGGCGCGGGGGCGGAAGCACCTACCCGATCACTGGACTAGGGAGTTATGTTCTCTGGAACCCCGCGAAGGTGCATTCCTCCCCCGAGGGGCGGCCGGGCTGGTTCTGCTCCCCTGGGAGCGGCGTGCTGGACGAGTGTGGCCCCCGTGCCGGGGCGTCGGCAACGCGCGGGGCTGGCCCGGAGAGAGAAGCCCGCCGGCGCATGTTGCCCCTCATCGCTGGCCCTGCCCGCCCGGCGCCCCGCCTGCCGAACGAGGGAGGGGCAACGGGCTTCCGGGCGTTCTATCGCCGGGGACCGTGGCTGCCGCGATCGCCACGGCGGCGCGTAGCTCGGGGGGAGGGGGGACGAACAGGGAGGCTCGTATTTGCGCCGGCGGCAGGCCCTGCCCCGGGTGGGGATTGCGCCGCTGCTCGGCCGCATCAATCCCCCCCCCCCCGGATGCGGGGGGTGCTTGCATGTGTGTCGGCCGGCCGGCCGGCCGGCCGGCATGTGTCTCTCTATGCCTGGATCTCATTTGCCCCCCCCCCCCCCCGGGAGATGGGGGGGTGCGCCGGGTGCATGTCCCTCCTCCTCTATGGGGCTCCTGTCTTCCGTTGGAGGCGGGCATCGCCGGATCGGCAAGGACAAGTCCAGCTGGGGCCGGGATGTTTTTCGAGAGGAGACCCCCAGCCGGCCGGTGCGTGCACGGGCATCCTGCACGCGGGGAGAGACACATTTTTCAGGGCCACCCCCAGGGGGCACAACGGGACCCAAAAGGGGCGAGAGCTTCTGCCCGTGTGCGTCGGTGTGTGCGGGCGCGTGCGGCCCGGCCGCCGGCTCCACAGACGTTGTCTCCGGCCTTTCCTCCCCCCCCCCCGGCCGGGACCCCTCTCGCTTCGCCCCGGAAAAACATCCGGCGGGCGCCTCGGACGCGCGGTCTCGACCGTCCTTCCCCGTCGGGAAGAGCCGGCGCGCGCGTCGGCGCCTTTTCCCTCCAGCGGGGTCACCCCTCGCCGGTCTTCGGAGCCCAGGCTGTTCTGCTCCCTCCGTGTGGCGCGCGGAAAAATCTCGTGTGCGATTGTTGCGTGAGCTCGCCTTCGGGCCTGCTCCCTGGGTTGCCCGGAGGAAAAGGCGTCCGGAGGGGGCCCGCTGGCTCGGGCCTGCTCACTGCCCCCCCCCGGCCCTGGCCACCGGGAGCGCCTTTCTGGCTCCTCCCTGGAGGGCAGCAGGCCAGGGGGGAGCAGCCTGCGCGGTGGATGCACCCAGCCCAGCCCGGGTGAAGATCCCCTGCTGCGTTCTGGTGGCCCGGGAGAGACATGACGGGCGTATGAAAATGTTCCCCCCCCCCCCCCCCCCGCCCCTCGGCGCCCAAACGCGTCCCCCGCACCAGGCGCCGGCGGCACAAGGCTGCCCCCTCCCCCCGCCGAAGTGTTGGTGGATGCCCCTCCCCGTCACCCGCGCACCCGGGGGGGGGGGTGGCGTCCTCCCTGGCCGGGGCGCGGCAGGCGCGGAGGAGGCCCGGCAGCGGCATCCCGATCCTCGCGCTCCGGGCTGAGGCTCAGCGGGCCCGGCGGTGATCGGCCATCACCGCCCGCCGTCACCGAGCCTGCCGAGGTCTTTGCATGCCTTCTGGCCCGACGCAGTGCCGGGGACCCGCGCTCGGGCAGATGCCGGCCCTCCCCCTCGGCCCTCCTCTTATTCTCTCTCTCTCTCTCTCTGTCTCTGTCTGTCTGTCTGTGGACCACAGGCGGGTTTACACCGCGGGATTGCGCCGGAGCAGCCTCGCCCGCTGGTTGGCTCGTGCTCGCGCACGCCCACACCCAGGCATGGACCCGCCGGCAAGGCCCACCCTCACCCACATGCGCCTCAATGCGTGCACTTGCACCCCCCCCCCCCCCCCCCCCCCC